ATCCGATGGGCGCTCTGATGTCCTGCATGTCCGGCACGTCCCCCTCCGACTCCCCGCCGCAGGCCAAGCGCCGCTCCTCCGCGTCCTCCCGCCGCGGCGGCAAGGCCGCGGAGATCGACGAGCAGGCGCTGGCCGCCGCCGCGGCGCTCGTGCTGGGGCAGCGCGGAGGGGGAGGCGCGTTCGACCGGTCCGCGTCGGTGCGGTACGCCGCGAAGCGGCAGCAGCAGGGCCTGCCGCTGCCCAGGAGCTCCAGCACGCGCCCGCGCTCCCTCGCCGACCCCGAGCTCCAGCCGCAGCACCTCCTCGCCAAGGTATCGAGCCCATCATCCTCCTCCTCCCTTCCTTCCTTCATTCCTCGCTTGCTTCTCCCGGTCGCATTGCTTAGTCTAGTCGGTCCGCGTGCCGCCGCGTGGAATTTTGACGCCGCTCCATGTTGACTTTTCCTTTTGCTCGTCGGGATTCCTGGTGGGGATTGCTTGGTTTTCGCGTCGGCCGTTGAGAAATGTCTGCGGCTGTCTAGTTTCTACTTAGTTTCCAGGGCCGTCTACACCTAACTTTTGGGGTGGAATTTTTATTCCTTTCCATGCTTTGTCAGGCTCGCTGAAACTATATCATGCGTCGTATGCATAGCGGCGGTCTTTGAATTGTTCATCGCTTTTGGTTTATCTGCTGTATTGAGATGGACAAGTAATTCGTACTTCAATTCTACGTTGCCCCCCTCCACGAATTCATGTGGTTTTGTTGAAGAATTCAGCATGTCCTTCGATCTGTTCCCGTGCCTACTGCGATTCGCTGATGTGAGAACTACCAAGTAGATTAGTAGTGCTTCCATTTTGCAGGTGTCCTCTGAGTCTCCTGATCCATTTGTGCCACTGGCTGGTGGGGCTTAACATGGGGGTCCCGTATGCCATAGGGCTAGTCGAAACATGGAAAACCTACAGCTCCAGGGGCCTCTGTCAATCATCTGTCCGTGATTGCACAATGTATAATCCATATGGCAAGCTACTGAGCATTGATTTAGTAAAAGTCCAGAACGTATTTGGAAACCACGGTCGTCTGGGTGATGGGTGGTGGTTGTTGTTGGTACATATTGGCGTGCTTCAGAATTCAGATGCCATTACATTGATTGTTTCTTGTACTAGCCTCCTAGGACAATGATATTGTCGCATGTGTTCATTTATTCTGGAGAAGGGACGAGGAGGGTACCTTCCAACTTGTCCCATGGATCCTAGTTCCTGATATTCTTTACTTCGAATTGTTTCAGTCACGGTGAATCTGTGTTGCCTAGCTTTTGTCGAGATCAAATGTTTGTTGCTGTCACCTAGTCTGTCTTGACCGTTACTGGAAATGACCGCCGGCAGCAACTTGGCTTATATACCTGCCAACATGGCTATCAACTAGTGGCGTGTTGACTGTTGACCAAGGAGAAGCTGCCGGCTGCCAGCACGGAGGTTTTGGTTGATTGTGTAGTTCGTGTCTGACATTTTCAATGCCACTGGTCAGTTGATGGATGTATATATGGTAACTGAATTAGCACGCCATTTGGCAGTTAATTGGTGTTTTTGTTTTCGAATCACTGGCGAAGAAACATTTCTACAGTTACAACTATGAAAAACACAAATACCTTTGACACTTTGTCTAGTGCATATGCTCGTGAATTCCTGGTGAACTTCAAGGGATTTATTGCATATTCTTGCTTAGTAATGCAGATGTTTCAGAGTTGTTCTAAGATTCTCAGTGATGTACTCTTTGACTCTAATATATGTTATCTGTATGTATGTAAGATGTGGATCTACCATGCAGGCAGGGAGCAATAAAGCTCTTCCATTATCTAAACAAAAAAAGATGTTTCAGCGTTGTTTGTATATGTAACTGCGGTCATTGCATCCATATAACCATCTTAACCAATGTGCTGTTTTTTTTAAACAGGAGTTGAATACTAAAGATTTGGAAACCAACATAATTGTTCTTGTTCACGGAGGTGGGTTTGGTGCTTGGTGTTGGTACAAGACCATGTCACTTCTTGAAGATAGTGGGTTCAAAGTCAATGCTATTGACTTAACAGGCTCCGGGATTAATTCTTCTGATACAAACAAGATTAGCAGTCTTTCAGAGTATGCTGAGCCACTTACATCTTACCTTAAGGGCCTAGGTGATGCTGAAAAGGTTTGTTCTCTTTGATATTCTAACCATAATATGTTTGACATATTTAGCAAAATTTACTTCAGTTTGGAATATTATTAGGCTAATCATTTGACTATCATGGATGATAATATTAAAAGATATTAAGTATTAAGATATGCGCTGTTAGCCTAAGGTAACCCCTAACCGTTCGAGGCAGCAACATGTATGTGAAAGAAAAAACATAAGCACAGAATGTTCTCAGTGTTTTGGAATCAATTTATGAGAGATGGAGTCTGAGCTTACGGTTTGAAGTCTGGGCGTCAGTCTTACTTAAACAAAAATCTTACACAACGGAAGTTCTCCAGATAGTCTCCTAGAGCGTCCGTGTCTGTGTCGTGCGATCGGCTCGCCGGCCCAGTGGGATCTCATGAAAATGGCCATGCTTGCTGCCGTGCTGCTCTTACTTGAATAGTTTTGTGAGTAGCTAGGTCACATGCCATTAATGTATGTGCAATTTATTTATCAAAGGCATGCCACTTTACTCGCTGATGCATCAGATTCAGTTTCACGGTTTCTCAGTATTGTTGGAATTTTTGTGGCGCTGGTTCTGATATTTCAGCATCACATAATTTATTCCATGAAATTTTTTCCTTTGAGACTGGTCCCTGTTTGTGACATTTCGTGCTGTGCAAAGCATCTTGTTCACCTAAGCAAATATACATCATTGATAGTTCATGTTATTACACAGGTTATCTTGGTTGGACATGATTTTGGGGGTGCTTGCATATCCCATGCGATGGAGATGTTTCCATCGAAAGTTGCCAAGGCTGTTTTCCTGTGTGCAACAATGCTGACAAATGGACATAATGCTCTTGATATCTTCCAACAACAGGTTTGACCTCTATGATAGCATAATTACAATTAAAATTTTGAAAAGAAAATCTTCAATGTTGTCTAGCGTTCAAGTTAGTATATCTTCAAAGATTCTGCCTGATGCCAGACAATTCTGCTCCCATTGTTTCAGATGGATACAAATGGTATGCTCCAAAAGGCACAGGAATTAGTATACTCCAATGGCAAGGACCGGCCTCCCACCGCTATCAACATCGACAGGGCTTCAGTAAGAGATCTATTATTCAACCAAAGTCCTGCCAAGGTATTACTGTCCACACCCATTTCCAATCATATCACTGAATCCTACTTTCGAAATTAACATTTCACACCCACCCCATTTGTCTTTGTAGGATGTGTCCTTGGCTTCAGTGTCCATGAGACCTATCCCCTTTGCCCCGGTAATGGAGAAACTCACGCTAACAGAAGGGAACTACGGATCCGTGCGGCGATTCTTTGTCGAGACAACGGAGGACAACGCGATACCCCTTTCCCTTCAGCAGAGCATGTGTGTGAGTAACCCGCCAGAGAAGGTCCTGCGGCTGAAAGGTTCAGACCACGCCCCTTTCTTCTCGAGGCCGCAGGCGTTGCACAAAACGCTGGTAGAGATAGCAACCCTGCCGCGAGCACAGGCATCATGAGAGCTTGTTCTCGGTCAGATTATTCTTTTCAGCCGGCGAGATCGCCATGATTGTTCCCATGACTGCTGCTGCTGTATATTTTGGGATGAGAGTATGCTGGAGGCAAAATGCTAAGGTTTGGAAGCCGTTGTACAGGTGTAAGCAGCAGAGTAGGAGCTCTGGATTTCAACCTTATCTCCACGATTACACCTTTCCTGTCTGCAATGACATACATACTCATCATCGATTCATCGTTAACTTAATGCACGTGTAAGTGTACTACAGCCAATGTGAGGAAAAATAGAGGAAAATAATACTAACGGTTTTATTTTGTCTGTCGATGCGAGCTATGGTCCTATGTGCTGTTGTGTGAGGTTACCCTCACGGAAATTGGAATTTGCCCTTTGATACTGCCCTCGATGACGATGTAGCAGACGAGGCGTAATATTGTAGGGTCTTACGGTTGGCGTAATTAGCGGAGTGGCGATCGTGAGGCGATTGGATCTCGTCCTCGACCTCGTCTGCCTTCGTTGCCGGCAAGTGGTGGTGGTGCTGGGTCTTGTTCCCACGTCATATTCACCCTCCCCCAAAACCCTAGCAGCAGCCGCCTCCTAATCTCCTTGCCGCCGCCGGATCACCGCTAGACAAAGGCTGGCGATGGATGATGGCGGCGGCGGGGCCTTCCTCAATCGCCGCTCTAGGGTGCGGCCGCGGCGGCTTCTCGTGTGGGTGCCCCGGTCTCCCCTCGCGCGTTTGGCCCCCACCACGGCGGCGAGTTGATCTGGTTGGGGTGGCTCGGTGCTCCTTCAACCGTGGCCGGTGGCGGCGTTGGTGGCGCGTCGCGATGGGGTGGGATGGCATCTTGCCCATCCCTGCCCGTGGAGGTCTTGACTGTGGAGGTGTTGCGGCGTCACGTTTGTCTCAGCCGGGTCCGGTCCGATCTGGCCCGTCGGTGGCTGCCGACGGCGAGGATGTGGAGGTGTGACTGTCGATGAAAACTGAGCCGACCTCGGTTATGGCGGCTTCTTTGAGTCGTTACCTTGATGAAGGCATCGTCTTGCAGTTCTCACCTCCTCGGGAAACCCAAGATCTGCATTTTCTGGATAGGATGATGGCGGCGCGCAATGTCGTTCTCCCTCCTAGGGGCATCGTTTTGGAGTAGGCATTGAAGGGGTCAGAAGGTGGAGCGGTGTGGTATCTACCGCATCTGTGGCGGCGGGTCTCAGCGGAGCGGCACAGTAGGATCTCGGCAACAGATGTGTGATGATGGACGCACACAGGGAGGTGTCGCTGTCAGGTGTAGTGGCGGCGCCGACGACAGTACGACCTGGCAAGGTGAATGTGTTGATCGCTTCTGAAGATGGGACAACGGAAGATGACGACGACAGATCCAGAGCGTGCGCATGCGGTGCGCGCTGCAGGTCGGCCAGACCGGGTGGTGCTCTCGGCCCGATGTGGGGCAGCTGCGTGTGGCCACCAAATTAGATAGTGTGCGTTCATGCGGTTCGGGCACAATATCAAGAGTGTATGTGTTGCGACTTTGTTCGCTAGATAGGAGGTTTCAGGTTGATCTATGTATTCATGTTGTCAGATTCTATTTTTTTTTTAGGTCAAAGCAACGCTTTATAACTTAACGATGCTCGGGCAAATCGCTCGAGGCACAGGCAGCCACATTGGCTGGTACATCAGACCCCAGTTCATAATTTGGTCTACTGGGTACATCCAGCCCATATTTGCAAGTTCATGGGCAACATTATTAGCACTACGACGACAAACAGCTAACTTGTGTTTAGAGAACCACATCTTCAATTGATACTTCGTGTCCTCGATGATAGTAGCATAAGCTGACGAGTCGGCTTTTCGGAAATCCATGGCTTCCACTAGCAATTGGGAATCTGTTTCAAAGATGACCCTCAGGCTGCCAAGATCAGCGGCAAGAGCGACAGCGTTGGACAGTGCAAAGACTTCCGCCGCGAAAGCATCGTGTATATGGCCCTGCCTGCCAGCCCTTGCTGCAACGATGTCCCTGGACGAGTCTCTTGCCACCACGCCCCATCCAGCATGACCATCTCCTGGGGCAAACGATCCATCCGCATTGATCTTCAGCATATCATCTGGCGGGGCAATCCACTTGTCCATGGACGTCTTCAATGGCGGTTTAATAAAGACTTGCAAGTACTCCATGACAGCGGTGCGAGTCCTCCGTGCTACATCTGTTGCTGACGCCGCTAGTTCTCCCTTCCTCAGCTTGTTCCTCACGCTCCACCAGTGCCACCAGAAGGTTAGGATATGCATGCGCTTTTTTTCATCTAGCCCCCAAACATAGTCCATCATTGCATGCACGGAACTAATCTGTTCCAGCTCGATCCTCTCCTTCTCCAAGGCTAGCTCTCTCCAACCCTCCTTCACCGCCTTGCATTTTATGAATAGGTGAGCCCCGTCTTCGTCCGCCCGTCCACAGAAGAAGCACCGAGTGCTTTCCACATTCAGTCCACGTTTCTGCATGTTTGTCAAGAGTGCTAGTGGTTCATGCTTGACTCTCCATACGAACATTTGCACATTCCGCGGGCAGGGTAACTTCCAGATTCTCTTCCACGAGTTATCCTGGCACGTGTTCAGGTTCCCCGCTACATGAGTGCTCATTCCCTGCCCACCGTTCTTCTTCTGCTTCGACAACTCGACGTGTAACTTATATGCACTTTTGACTGAGTGAACTCCTTTACTATCGAATTGCCAGGCAATAAAGTCATGTACACCGTCCCTCAACGGTATCTGGAGTATTAGTCGTACATCCTCCGCCCAGAATGTGTCCCGAGCGAGTTGCACATCCCACTGGCCTGTTGTTGGATCGATCAGATCACTAACTTTGTCTAGCAGGTTGTTGCCCCTTAGCATAGTGATAGTACGAGACCAAGGTCTCGGTATCCAGGCGTCGGCCCAGATATTCACATCAGCTCCGTCACCTATGCGCCAAATGTACCCCTCCCGGATCAGCTCTAATCCGTGCAGCAAGCTTCTCCAAGCATATGAAATTCCTTCCTTGGCCTCAGCAGCTAACACATGGGAGTTGGAAAAGTACCGAGCTTTGAGGATACGACCACATAGAGTATCAGGTTGCTGAACAAGTCTCCACGCCTGCCTAGATAACATTGCTATGTTGAAGCTGTACATATCCCGGAAACCAAGGCCCCCGCGTGCTTTCAGCATGGTGAGCTTCTCCCATCCAATCCAGTGCACCGTATTTTCCTTGTCTTGTTGGCTCCACCAGTACTTTCCGATCATGGAGCTCATCTCATGGCAAAAACCTTCGTAAGGTCAAAGCAGGACATGGCGAATGTAGGGATAGCTTGCGCTACGGAGGTCACAAGTGTTTCCTTCCCCGTTTTCGCTATGAGCTTCTCCTTCCATCCATACATCTTACCAGCAATAGCTCCTTTCACGTATGCAAAAGCCTTCCGTCTGGATCGTCCGACATGCACTGGGAGTCCCAAGTACTTCTCTTCCAGGATTCACTATGGATTCTCAACACAGTTTTCACTGCATTTCGCTCGGCCACTGGTGTATTAGGGCTAAACATCACAGAAGATTTATCTACATTGATACATTGACCTGAGCACGCCTCATAAACGTCCAGTACCTCTCGTAGGCTAGCGGCTTCCTCCACACATGACTTCATGAGTAAAACGGAGTCATCCGCGAAGAGCAAATGGGATACTGCAGGTGCTGCTCGGCATATTTTGACCCCACTGATCCTTCTTTCTTGCTCTGTAGCATGGAGCAGGGACGACAGGCCTTTGGCACAGATGACAAACAGATACGGCGACACCGGGTCACCCTGCCGTAGGCCTCTGGATGGGCTAAACTGCTCCGTTAGCTCACCATTGACTTTAATCTGATAGCGCACGGAGGTAACACACTTCATTATTAAGTCAACCCACGCACGGCTGAAACCTAGCTTCACAAGCATCTCCCGCAGGAAATTCCACTCGACTCGATCATAAGCCTTGCTCATATCCGCCTTAACCGCTGCATAGCATTCTCCCCCCCTCTTCTTGTTCAGTAGAAAGTGGGATAACTCATAGGCAACTAGCACATTGTCGGTGATCAAACGCCCCGGGACAAAGGCACTCTGGTTCTCAGATATTATGTCAGGCATAATGAGCTTCAGTCGGTTGGCAATTACTTTTAACACCAGCTTGTACAGCACATTACAGAGAGAGATCGGTCGTAGGTCCTTGATCCTCCTTGGGTTCTTAGTTTTCAGAATCAGCACAACAACGGCATCGTTCCATCCTTCAGGGATATCGCCTCCGTTTAGGACCGCAAGCACCTCCTCCACGATGTGGTCACCCATAAAGTGCCAATGCTTCTTGTACACAATAGACGGCATTCCGTCCGGCCCTGGCGCCTTGAGATCTCCTATATGATCAAGGGCTGCTTTAACTTCTTCTCGGGTGAACTCCAAATCAAGCATCGCCTGCATGTTGCTGGTAATACGCGGTGTCACACGACTAATGATCTCATGCATGCGATCTCCCGAGAACTGTGTTGTGAATAGACCCTGAAAAAAAGAGCGCACATAGTTAGTCAAACCCTCCCCCTCCATCACTTGATGGATGTGTGCATCTATTTATGCAGAGGCCGGGGGTAATCTTCCTTTTCAAAAAAAAATCCATCTTCCATCTTCATGCTCCAGGAGTCCAGCGCAAACTGCAATTGTCTTGTGGTCAGGTTGCAAACTAGGGATGTAAACTGCAAGGCTCTTGTCCCCAAGCGCTCTGGTTTGATCATTTCTCTGTTCATCCTGTGCTTGGGGGCTCCTCTGCTCAACGTCGCTGAGGTGATGAAGGTTGAGGAACTAGCGCGCCATGAGCACACTGGGCCTAGGCGGTTGTTCGTCGGGACGGAGGCAAAAAATTTACACGTTGGGTGGAGCACATCATTAGGATGTTTGGAAAGGAACCGCACAAATATGTCCTCCCCGAAGCGGAGGCAGAAATGGAGATAATCGACCACGTAGT